AGTTTGGGACGTTTATAACCAATATCAACGATTTCAAAGAATAAATATTTTTCTTTTTCAATGTTTGTCTAAATAATATTAGCAACAATAATTAATAATCTAACATATTTAAATAATAGTATATTATTTAATACATTAAAAAATATTTTCTCGACTATTCGTTGGTTTATAAACGTTGTGAATTTTACAATTGCATATTATTTTTTTACAAAGTGTCTATTTTGTCAGTCATCAAGCTAAAAAAGAGAAATAGTTATTTAGCTCGTCAATAAGAATTTTTTCAAAATTTAAATATGTGACGCGATCTGAAGAAAGGGACCTTAGAAGCAAAAATTTTAGGTTATGTTTGAAAATTTTGTAAAAGAAAATAAAAAAGGATCGACTGTCATTGGGTGTTTTCGGCAATTACTGGGAGTTATTCCTAAAGGAGAGTCCAGAATAGAGTCGAAGTCGGTATGAACGCGCCGATATTAACGCGCTCGTCCATATGGAATACATAGGACGAGCGCGTTTTATCAGCGCGTTCATACCGACTTCGACTCTATTCTGGACTCTCCTTAAGAGTGATCAGTGGTGCTCAATTTCAAAAGTTTGAAAAATAAAGTGTAGTTCACTTGCTACCAAAGTATTCAATGGGACCAAGTCAATTTTTAAACCATAACTTTTTAGAAATTTATTTTTGAATCACCCCAAGTAGCACGTAACATTCCTGGAATGTTGCAGCAATGTTACATGTAATGTTAGTAGCATTACAGTGTAACATTTTAATATTACTGCAATGTTAAACTGTAATGTTACTAACATTATATGTAACATTGCTTCAACATTCCAGTAATGTTACGTGCTACTTAGGACCCAGATAGCACAACATTTTGCAGAAAGTTTGCAGCAAGTTTGCAAATTTGCATTGCAAGTTTGCAGCAAAATTGAGGCAAATAACAAAATGTCCGCCTTGTGTAAATTTTGCGGAGCAAACTTGCTACAAGTTTTCACAGAAAACTTGCAGAAAAGTTGTAACAAACTTGCAGCAAACTTTCTGAAAACTTTAAACATTTTCAAAAAAACCTTTTTGTATTCAAAATGTATGTATTTTGTAAAATGTTGCCTTCCCTTTCAGAGAAGGTGACAAAATATAGTGCGCAGCTCTATATGTCACAGAAAACTACTGCGCAGACATTTTAATTTACCTTGCCACGCAAGTTTTCTGCAAGTTTGCTCCGCAAACTTTACACAAGGCGGACATTTTGTTATTTGCAGCAAACTTAATGCATATAACAAATAACAAAAATGCTAATTTGCGAAGTTTGTAATGCAAACTTGCTGCAAACTTTCTGCAATTTGTTGTGCTATCTGGACATAGTGTAAACGGAAAATTATTTTTCATTTATCGAAACCCTTGCGAAATCGTTTTACCAAATGTCTCCCCACGTGGGTATACATTTGGGATACATTTGGGAGACATTTGGTAAATTGCTTTATAATTCTGTTAAAAGACAGAATTTGATGAAAAAACGATTGGAAATTAAAAAGGAACATTTGGAGAATGAAATTATGCAAATATTTTTATAAAGAAAGCTTTGAATAATTAATAATTAACTGAAATGTGCAAAAATGTCATTGTGATTTTACCCTACTAAAAATAAAATCAAGAATGATCAGAAAACTGGTCAGACCGCCTGACCACTTTAATCCAGTTTTCTTACGATTCTGGATGAAGTTCGTCAGAAATCTATCACAACTGGTCAGGAGGAAGTTTAAAGTGGTCACAAGTTTGCTACTATCCCCTCCACTTTGTTGACCCCGCCCATTACTGGTGACGATTTTAGACCATTTCTAAGTCATTTCTGACCATATTTTTGAACCACTTCTGACTTTTCTAGTCTATTTTTGACATTTCTTCTGACCATTTTTAACAAGAAACTTTACCACTACTACTGGTTTTATTAAAACACTATACTAATAACGATTTTCTATTAAAAATTTTTTTATTAACATTTTCTCTGTTTAATATTTACAAAAAATTACATATGTATAATGCTAACAACGATAAATAATAATAGTAAATTTAAAATAAAAATTGGAATATTCCCTTCTTGCAATTGAAACAGGGATTAAATATCCATTTCGTAATTAATATTTTCGTATTTTTTTTTGTAAAAACGCAGTTTTCTAATCTTATGGTTTTTCAAAATTAACTTCAAATAATTTTGTTTCTAACTATTCAAAACAAAAAAAATTACATTTTTCCACAGTAAAGCGAATTAAGTAATATAATTATTCTTTATATAGTATTAAAAGTGGAATTTTCAGCAGATTTTTAAACTATTTTTTGTCTACTAGTTGTTTTTTTCTATTATTTTCTTTTAATAGTTCTATTTGTAGTAATTCCCTATTGAAAAAATACATCTGTAATTACACATGTAATTTGAACATTGATTTTCTTTTCAAAATTTCTAAAATTGTTAGGTCTCGCATAACAGCCACAAATTTTTGAGACCGTCGAAAATCTTTAACGCAAATTACATTCAATTTAATAAAAGTGTTTCAACATGTAGCACAAACTGTAATCTGTTCTTATAAGTTCTAATTTAAATACTTTTATAAATAAAATAAATATAATTGCAATATAACCAGATAACTAAAATAATACTAAAATTACAAATATGAAGTAAATGACTTTACCGACCAAAGATGATCCACAAGTTTTGAACGTTCAAATGAACGAAACACTTTTTATTAGAAATATTTTTATAAATTACTGTTCGCAATAAAAATAAAAAACTTAAATTTTACACTTAGAAACTTTATAATTCATTTTTTTTATATCGACAAAAAATTATTGTAATAAATATTTAAATTAAAGAAGAAATAAATAAATTTCGTTCATTTGAACGTTCAGAACTTTAGGATCATGACCAAAGATGTAATTCTTTATATGTAATTTGTACTTTTTGTTTCAATTGAATTTATGATATTTACTTTGATTTAGGATTCGCTAATTATTATCTTAATTTTTTATGAACAAAAATTATTTGGATTTAATTAACTTTAAAGATTTTTATGAGCAATTATCAATTATAATTATAAGCAATTAACGTGTTTACACTTTCATAATTTTTTATTTTAATTTATATGGGGCATTCCATTTCATAACGAACCACCTTATAAACAATTGACATTGTAAGGCAATTTTTAAATAATTATTTCTCCTATTTATTGAAGTCAAACTTTATTTACTTTTAGTGATTTTCAAAGAAAATTTTCTCAACTTTATGATGGTAAAAATTTTTTTTAAAAAAATAATAGAATTTATGAAAAAAATTAAGTTTGAAAGTTAACCTTTTGAATATTTCAAAACATGTCGCGTCCGATTTTCTTGTAATTTATTTCAAAATGAATCTTAAAAATTCTAGTTTTATTTACTGTAAACATTATAATGGGCAATTTGGTTGAAATTAAGAAATTAATTAAATTTTACAAGAATTTCGAAGGTTATAATGTATATATCGAGCGGAATTTGTTTTTTTTTCAAACTTGTACACAGTTTAACCTCTGACATCTTTGTAAAATTTAATTAATTTCTTAATTTTAACCGAATTGCCCATTATAATGTTTACAGTAAATAAAACTAGAATTTTTAAGCTTCATTTTGACATAAATTACAAGAAAATCGGACGCGACATGTTTTGAGATATTCAAAAGGTTAACATTCAAACTTAATTTTTTTCATAAATTCTATTAGTTTTTAAAAAAAAATTTTTACCATCATAAAGTTGAGAAAATTTTCTTTTAAAATCACTAATAGTAAATAAAGTTTCGCTTCAATAAATAGGAGAAATAATTATTTAAAAATTGCCTTACAATGTCAATTGTTTATAAGGTGGTTCGTTTTGAAATGGAATGCCCCATATATAATGAATTCTACCCATAAATACTAATTTTATCGCTACAAGAAAAATGTATTTTGACTAGATTGTCAAAATGCATGAAAGATACATTTTTCAATTTCATTATTATTTATGTAATAACTAAAAACTTTTTATTTACAACATCAATTATTTTGTATCAATGATATCATTACCCAGTAAAAAAAATTCGATACACGGACCGTGGAGTTCGTATACGAGCTCGGTAGCTCGTATGAGAAATATGAGAAATCTCTCATACGAGCCTTTTCCGTAATGAGAAGTGTATAGATGCTTGTATACGAGGTGACTTTTAAAGCATTTTTCTTAATATAACACTATTTTAAAGTAAATGTAGATAATAGAAATGAATTTTCAAAGTAAAACAAAGCTAAATTTATAAGGGAAATGAAGTTTTAAAAAAAAAAGGATAATTTTGTTCAAAGAATTTATTCACACTGAAAAAAGGTTAGAATTTGATAATTCCTTGTTACTCTAACTTACCGACATTAGATATTTCTCGGATGCGGTAAGCACGATTTTGTATTAAATTTAATTATTTTATATGAACATTTATTTAATAAATAAATAATAATATATTATTAATTAGCAATGAAGAAAAACTTATTTATTCTACCGCCAATACAAAATCGTGCTTACCGCATCCAAGAAATATCTAATGTCGGTTAGTTAGAGTAACAAGGAATTATCAAATTCTAACCTTTTTTCAGTGTGAATAAATTCTTTGAACAAAATTATCCTTTTTTTCTTAAAACTTCATTTCCCTTATGAATTTAGCTTTGTTTTACTTTGAAAATTTATTTCTATTATCTACATTTACTTTAAAATAGTGTTACATTAATAAAAATGCTTTAAAAGGCACCTCGTATACAAGCATCTATACACTTCTCATTACGGGAAAGGCTCGTATGAGAGATTTCTCATATTTCTCATACGAGCTACCGAGCTCGTATACGAACTCCGCGGTCCGTGTATCGAATTTTTTTTTACTAGGTAAAAGAGAATTGTGTTTTTGTTTTAAATTAATTATAAAAAGCAAAGAGTTTTTAGTTATAACTTAAAACAAACAAATTTCTAAAACAGTTTTTCGTTTAAAATTTGACACGAAAGAATTCTAGGTCCAATATTTGTAACTAAATGTTTGTTGCCCAATATTTTTTTCCAGTGCGCTTCTGGATTTAGTCCCGTGTATCGTGGTTTCTTGTTTAAATTTTCCTTTTCTTCAGATTCATCCTCCATGTCATTAGCTTTCCTTTTTTTGGGAGACATTTGTTTATTTTGCTCTTCTTCGGGTACATCTAAAAAATCATTTCAATTAAAATTTAAACAAATATTAATTGAAATTTTATATATAACTTAAACAAATCAAAATACATTATAATGAATTGAAATGTATACATGTATAACCTTGTGAGTAAATTTCATTTTTATATTGTTCCTGTACGTCGTCACAAAAATTTTCCTGCATTTCTTGGATTAAATCATTGTCAATTGCATTTTGAAAAATTGCATCAAAACTTCTTTGTGGATCCATCTCATCATTTTCCACTTCCTCGTTTGTTTCTAGGTCTGCTTCTTTGTCATCATTCTGTTCTTCTCCTTTTTTATCACCTATTGCCACTCTGCTTTCTTGATTTACGTTTTTAGTTTTAGTCAAATTTTTTGAATGTTGTTTATTTTTTATATCCTTTCTTTTACTTAAAAGAGTTGTTCTTTTATAATTTATGGATTTAAAAAAATTTAACGACTCTTTTTCGAATGTTTTCTCAGTCCACCTTTGATCTTCAGCCCAATTAACAAATCCAGCTAAAAAATAAATTAATTAGTTTTTTATTTTAGCATTTATTCGTTTAATAATATGTTAAGCCGATAAGAAACTTGAACTGGAATTTTACCATAAACTGCATGCAGTTTGCTTTCTTCTAGTCGCGGTTTTTTTTCCACTTTAGATTTGTTATTGGCTTTGCCGAAAACCGAATGGGTTCTTAATGTTTCTGCACCAAAAACTAATTCCGCTAAGTTGCCGATAAACACTGAAGCTTTTCTGGTTGATATCTTTAGAAGATTGAACTTATCCTTGTTGACACCGACAGAGTCGTTCAAAAAAACCTAAAAGAGAATATTTTTTTTAAGTTTGTTTCGAAGGTTAAAAATTAAAAGGTTAAATTTAAAAAATTCGAATAAAATCGAACGTACTATTGGAGATGGAATATTTCCGTCCTTGTTGACCAATGCTTCCTCTAGATCTGTAAAAATTATAAAAATACGTATAACACAGTGAAATAAAAAAGCTCAATTTTGAGATTACTTTTCAATGACGCTTACCGCAAATTTTTTGTTTTTGAATTAAGTTTTCTTCTTGATGTCTTTTTGCTTCTAATTTGACCTCTTCTAATTCTAAAAAGTGAATGTATAATTAAAATATACAGTGTCATAAATAATAATGTCTTCTTTACATACTATTAATTTGGTTTTTTAGAAGGAAATTTTCGTTTTGCAGGTTTCTTATTTCCGCTTTAGCTTTTTCGTAAAAAGTTATTCCATGGTTACATTTTTTTTTCTCTTCTTCTAATTCCTTTTCCAATCTTCCAATTTTTTTTATAAGTTGCTGATTGGAAGGGCATCTCTCCAATTTTTCTTGTTCTATCTGTAATAAATAATATTTTAAATTTGTCAATAGTGTACACAAAACTTTTAGTCTGATAAAAGTCTGTGAAAAATGACATTAGTTAACTTCAGCTTAAAGTATAAAGTTAGACTAAATGACTCACCTCATCTATCACCTCATCTTTATGGTTAATAATTAGAACTTCCTGATGCATAATCTCATCAATGAATTTCCTATTCATATCCTTCTCTCTTAATAGTTTTTTACTCTTGCCCTTCAAAAAGAAAATTAATAAGATTACAAAAATGAAATTTGATGAATGATTTTAGATATACAAAATCAATATGAGAATGTTCCAAGTATAATTTATAAATAGTACTTTTCATATTAATAACGTCATAATGCTTGCTATTCCCCTTTTGTAACATTAAATGTTATAAAATAATATATTCCAAACTTAAGTTTTTCCGTGTACGTTACAAAGAAATTCCTTGAAAGTATACCAGGGTGTTTACTATTTTCGTTCAACAGAATTCCCGGTTTTTTCCAGGCTGTGTCCAAATTTTTCCCAGTTTTTTAATCATCAAATTTAAATTTATTTGATTTCAAACCTAAATAAATCTACAAATGGCTTCGGAAATTTTTATTAAAAATTTATGAATAATTAGATTGTTCTGACGAGTTTCTTTAAATTTTTTAAAATTAATGTTTTTTTTAATAATTTGAAAGAAAATAATTTAATTGAACAAAGAATTTTTCGAATTTTTAAAAATATATTTATAAAAGTAATTGAATTCCTCCAAAGAATGTTGTATTATTTATGAAAATAATTCAATTCTTGGGAAGAATTTGACAAAAAAAATTTAAAAATAATCATTAATAATTAATTATTTACTTAATAAAGTAATCAAAACTTATTTTGCTGAAGAAATAAATAAATATAATTTATCTGAACAAATTTAAATTTTCAAAAAGCTTTGAGAAAATTCAATTTTATTTAAAAAAATTCATTGTGTATGTTCTTTTTAAATGGACTAATAAAAATTTTAAATATCAATCTTCGCTCTAAGAAATATAAACCAACGTTAAAAAGGGACTCTTTAAAAAATTCAATTATTTACCCACGTGAAAATATTCCCGGGAGTGCTAACGGGAAATTCTCGGTCAGATTTTTTGACGTAGTAAAATAAACATCGATAACCAACAATTATTTAGGTACCTCCTATCAATCTATATAAGTGATTCCTGATTAACTTTTTTGTGTGACTTAATTTAAATCAATGATAAAAAGTTCCCGGGAATTATACCGAGAATTTCCAGTGAGTAAAAAAACATTGGTTTATGATACGGTAAACTGTTATTTTTTTGTCCATTAGAATTTAGTTTAATGAACATAGAATAATTGATAAAAGTGTAAAAATAACCATTGTCTGTTATTCAAAATTAATTAATTCATCATTATTTAATTATTAAATACTAGAAAAAATTAAAATAATAGTTAAAATGTTTGGAAATTTTGTTTCGCAAATAACCTAATTTTATTACATTTATCAATTAATTACAAATTAGTGGAAATAATAAATTAAATAAAAACTCACAAAACATTAAGTACTTGCAACGAACAGAAAATATTCTTAATTGAAAATTGGCACTTTAATGATTTTGACAATTTTCAACTGCCGATAACTCTTTCCCTGTTGTATATATATTTAACATTTTTTATTTGTTACTAAATTAATATATGAATATAATTAATATCTAAATATGTAATTATATATCTAATTAATATACACAAGTTTTCAATGTAAAGTGATGAGACAACTTTCAGTTAAAAACAAAACCTATAACTAATAAATACATTAATCTGAAAAAATACAAAAAATTGTTTAAAAAATTTAGAAGTTTATCGCAAATAGTTTATACTTCGTGAGTTTTTATCTAATTTATTATTTTCACTTTATCATGATTAATTGATAAAAATAATGAAATTAGGTTAGTTGTTAAACAAAATTGTAAAACATATTTTAACTAAATTATTTTAATTTTTTCGAAATAATGTTAAATTCATTAACTTTGAATGACAGACAATGGTTTTTTTACACCTTTGTTAATATTATTCTACGTTTTGTAATCAAATTTTCCGTATCATAAAAAAAAATTTTCGACTTCTCTCTTATAGGCGAAAATAGAGCGTAAAACTTTCCTGAAAATTTAAATAAAATTTTTGCCCATATACAGTAGGGGAAAGGTGTACGAGATGATCCCCTGGGGCAAGATGATCATTTTGAATTTTGGAGAGCCAAATGACGTTGCCAATGACAAACCTATGAATCAGTCAAACTGTCATGATAACAAGAGTCATTAAAAAAATTTTATTGGAAAAAATAAAAATTTCATAGTTTTGATCTAAGGAAAGCTAAACTTTGAACTTATGTAACTTTTGTTGTAGAAGCTGGAATTCAAAGTTCCTTGTGCTGATAGTTCAGTATATCTTCAATTAAGTGTTATGATTGTTACTTTTGACTACCAAAGCTTGTAGGTTAAGTTACGAACAAATTAAAAATTAGTGTCATTTGGGGCAAGATGATCCCTCAATGGGTGTACAAGATGATCCCCCCTGATTCCAATGTATTTCATCTCACCTCAACCTGAATTTGTTAGTATTAATAAAAAATTCAATTTTTCTCGCTTCTTATTTGTTTTTATTATGTAAACTAACTTATTTAACACAAAAAGTTGAAATCGAAGTACATCTATTTTATTAATTTTTTTGTTGTACAAAATGACATGTAATTATAGAATAGGAAAACGAATCGTGGTGAGTGTTCAAAAGCATTTATGGCCTAAATAATGCATATTTAATATTGATATACACGTTATTCCTTCAATTTAGTCTCCTTTTCCAATAATTGGGCTAAGCTAAACGTACGGATCATCTTGCCCATACCAGGGGGATCATCTTGGACACCCCGGTGTCCAAGATGATCCTTTTGTAAGGTTTTAGAAAAATTAAATTTACTTGTAAAATATTAATTAGCTGCATATATTTCTAATCAGAAAAGTTAGATAAATTAATTATCTACTAGTTCGTACAAAAAAACTCGAAAATGTTGATTTTTCTTTGAATAATGGTCATTCTCCCTTAGGGAGATCATCTCATACACCTTTCCCCAATGCGAAATTTTTTTTTTAATTTTCAGGAAAGTTTCCCGTTAAACATTTATTGAAGTGGGACATTTAAATATTTACAAAATTTTCAATAAACTTGTCAAGTAAATACTTTGAAGTTTGCATAAATAATAAATAAAAATCAAATTAATTATTTTTTCTTTAATTATTTTTAATGGGACGTATGTTTATGAAAAGAGATTGAATTAAAAAATTATTGTTTATTTTAATTCTTCCTTACAGAGGAAATATTGTATTACCCCAAAATTATCATTTTAAGTTTTTGAGATTTTTTTCCTTTCTCGACCTGGGGAAAAATGCTTTTCACATAAAGAAAATAATGTCAAGAATAATGATATTTTGAATTATGCCCGTCTGTGTGTGTATATGTATTCACATTACATTTTACTCAAACCTCACGGGCTCGAGCCGGGTCCCTCGGACCCGGACGAAAGTTTATTTCTTTTTACTTTTTATTTGATACATTTATATATTTATTTTATATTATAAATAATATAATTTTTAAAACTATTTTATTAAATAATTTTTTTAAAATGATGTAATTATATGTTAGATAAAAAATATTAAGAACATTGCTATCATAAATTTTTATTTTCTATTGAACTGAAATACCAGGTCCCTTCGGACCTGGCTTGTGCGCACAGTCGGAAAGACGAACTCGAGCCCGTGAGGGTTAATATTTCTGAAATGAAACATTATTCCTCATATTTATATAAACAGAGAACTCAATAAAATTAAAAGCATAGAAAGTATTTCTGAAAAATATTATCTTCTTTATTACACACCTTTTTGTCATATGGATATACAACGCAGCAGGGAGACCAGGGGATTAGGACTCGTGAAAAAAGGATATTCAAAGCCCTCAAGAAGATCATAAAACATTTAAAGAGAATTGGGTTTTCCCATCAAAATATTTTTAGCCATTTATGTAAAGCACCGAATTTGGTAACAATAAATTAAATAATTTATAATTAAATTTCCAATGAAATTCTAAATTTTGCGAAATACTTTTTAGTCACAACAAGAAAAAATTATTTGCCTCACTTTAGTGACCTTTCATGTTCTGCATAGTAAAAATTATTCTGAAAAATTTTAAAGTGAAAATTCAAGAGAATTTTTATAGAAACTGGATCGAATTTTAATAGAAATTTAATGGAAGTTCCATGGAATTTTCTGAGAAATTTCTAGTGATTTTTAAGTAGGAAATTAATTTTTTATAAAATTCCCTGACTTTTACTTTTGTTTTAGAATCATCCCGAAACTGTAAATGGAAACTAAACAATTAATACTGAAAACTACTTACTTTTGAAACATTATTTTTTGATTCGTCCAAACTGTCACTATTTGTTGACTCAGACAGATCATTCAGAAGATGAGATGGGGGTGGCGCACATCTTTTACTTTCCAGTGAACTTTGACTATCTACAAAATTTTTCAAAAATCATTACATTATTTTGCTACCATACACATTCATATAATTAAAATGCGGGACACAATATATTTTTAAAAAATTCTTAACTAGCCTACAATTCAGAAGTTATGCCTGATCGATAAACTGACTGTTAATTTGTTCCGTCATTTTAAATTTTGAATGAATATGTATGAATCTTATACACAATTAAATCATACACAAGGAAAGTAATTAATATTTAAAATATTACATAATTATATTGTACACGTAAAAATTCTGGGAGGAACTCGCCTTGCGCTCGGAAACACTTCTTGGTACCAGTCGGGCAGCAGCAAAAGGTGCAGAGGCCTACACTTCTACGTGACTGATATCAAGAAATGCGTCCTAGCTCAAGGCGAGTTCCACCCAGTCGCTGAATTATCGATACTTTATATCAAATTATATTTAAAATTCAAACAATTTAATCTTAAATTCCGAAATTCTATACGCATAAAATGAAAATAATTAAAACTCTACACATTAAATATGTAGTATTTGAATTTGAAGAATTTTTAAACTTTTCATTTGCTTGGAAATTTTCTTGAGTTAACGGTTTAGAATTCGAACCGTCTTCGGTTTAGCAAATCCAAAAAAATCCAAAGCATTATTATTTTTAACTTTTATTAAAATTTTTATAATTTTAGTTAGCATTTTGGCACAAATATTTAAAATTTTGAAAAATGGTGTCATTCTTGTAATTGAAAACTTTATTACAATTTTAATTACAATAATTACTATAATTCTTACAACTGTACAATTCTTACAATTCAAAGTAACAAGTGTCATTAAAATTGCTTAAAAAAATATATATATGTACTAAGTATTATTTACATATTGTATATGAAAAAATATTTTTCTGTTTTAGAACTTTAAATTTATATCAAACTGACAGTTAAATGTTCTTCTACACTTGCTTCTAGAATAGTTAAGGGATTGTTTTTGCCAAAAAGTAATTGAAAACTTTTAATTTTTTAATATTATTAATATATTAATATTAATATTAATATTAATATTAATTTTTTAATATTATTATTATTTTTTATATTATTAATACAATAATTGATTGTAATTACCTGAAACTTTCAAAATCACAGCTTTCCTCTTTTCAATAATTTCTTCGCCTTCACTATTAATAATTGGTATTTTCACTTTAAAATACTTTAACTTTAATTCTATTTGGTTTTTTTCCCATACTTCAACGTTGAATTTTTTAATATTTTTAATGGGTATTACATGCTGCTCCCTTTTTTCATCTTCCACTTTAGCATAAAATTCTGCACAAGAACTCATCTTCAAGTTACATCACTTTTATAAGTTTTTTTCACGAAATCCACTTGCGAAATGTTGTGCGCACAATACTGCTCGGGTCTGAATCACTTGTCTGCCACTGTCAAAACAGAACTAAACTCAAACCGGGATTAACTCAAATTTCATAGCTAAACTAGAGTCTTCCTCTGCGCTCTGCTAGAATCAGAGAGTGCGCTATTGCAACAAAAATTTGTGTAGTCCAACCAAATAATTTCTTATTATTATTATTTTATTATATTTTTATATTTATTATTATTTTCATTTGTTTATTAATTTTAAATGAAAATTATATTATTAATTAAAACATAATTAGTCCTTGAAAAAATCTACCTACACATCAAAAATTTATAAGCTGAAGCAAAGTAAATCAATAACATAAAATGTTACATTAATTATTAATTACCTAGAAATAATAATTATTAATAATATTATTTAGTAAAAAATCTACTATTTTTATAAAAATTGAAAACTAATGTAAACGATACTGCCATTATTTATTTATGCTGGTTTAGTAATCGGCCCAGACAAGTTTCGTAATTGGCAAAATCAATTTGACATTGAGATTTCTAGAATAATTGAGGATCGGTCCAAAATTTGGGCCAGTAATCGGACGAGACTTGGATACCAAATTTTATCCTATAAATACATATTTTAATATATCTGATGCTCGCGGGGATCAAACACCATGAACCAAATTCTTATGCTTTATCATAGGGGAAGGCTTTCTGGTTGTCTCGTTAACGTTATTTTTCATTCTAGAAATACCATAATTAAAATCCTTTTAGAGCGATAAAAAGCAATAATACAATCCTAGTTAAATAAATTCTGAAATTGATTTTTGAAAAAATTTTGATAAATTAAAATTGAGACATTTTCATCTGCTAGCAAATGAAACATTTTTATAGGTAATTAAAGGTAAAAACTTTTTCTCAGTTTATGGCTTGCAGGTTGCCCCCCCACAAATTTTCACTTACACATATACTCTTGAATTACATTTTTATGATTGTTTAAAGTTTAGAATGGTTATTAAGCCAAAAGTGAAGTGTATTTATTATATTTCAATTTTTTTATTTCCAAATTGATATGTATATGTATAAGTATAAAGTTTGTTATATAATCTATTTTATATTTTAATTTTTTGTACTTTTTCCAAGAAAAACATAGTAGTCATATTTGGGGTTCTTCTTAAGAAGAAAAAGAAAAGTACAATAAACTTTTAAACGTATGTCTAAAAATTTTCTGAAAATTGCAATGAAAAAAATTTGAAGTCCCTCTGGACCAAGCGTGTTTTAAGCATTTTCAATAATAAATTATGAAAAAGTTTAAAAGTTTTATTTACAACAAATTTTTATTTCACAAAACCTTTAACAATAAATCAAAAAAACAACACAGAAAGGCAGAAATGTTATTGATTCCACAACAAGTTCCGCTGAGTGTTTTTGGTTGTCTAGGTCTTTCAGTGATTGCTAGAGCCAGCCCTGCATTCTACATCTCAATTTAATGAGTTTCTAATGAGTTTAAAATTGTGATGTTGCATACACAAAAGGCAGTGAGAAGTTTCTCCTAGAGGCAGTACTATTTCTGACACAGTGGAATAACAGATTCAAAATGAAGTGCTTAACTGTTGCCTAAAAGTGTAAATGAAGTGTTAAAAAATGAGTGGAAGAAAGCAGTACAAACAGTATTTTAAAAAAGATGGAATTGTGGACACTTTACCCAAGCATATCATTCGTAGATGTTGGGAAACTTTGAATAATATGGTAAGTGAAAAAATTGATAAAATGTTTAAAGTAATTTTCTTCAAATAATAATTGAATTTCTGCAATAATTTGTAACTTCTCAAAAATTCTCCAAATTGTATCGTACAATTTATGAACTTTTTGTGCTTTTTTAAACAAATTACGTATTTTTTTTTAATAAAACTAACTTTTACGGACTATAAGCAAATTTACGGACCTAGTTCGAGTCCTGTGCACTGTAAACAATTTTTCTGAAAAAATACGGACAGCACGGAACCCCAGACAGTGAGAATTTTTCCGAATAAAAAATTGGAGAAATTTTCGAATTATTTCAGAACATTTTCCACCTTTGTTAGATATTTTTCCTATCTTTAAGTCATGATTTTTTCCGAATTTTTTATTATTTTTTATTATTAAAGAGTTTTATTAAAAACCTCTTTAAAATACACAAATTATTTAAATATTTATATATAAAAAATTAAAACTGTTTATACTGCGTTATGATGTGTTCAACCGTGGGAGCTGCGCCTAGGAGCGCTCGACCAAGGGAGGCTGTGAAAATTTCTTGCAAAGAATCAGTTGTAAGAAACATGTGGACCATACCATTTTTTCGACTTCTTTCAAATTTCTAAAGATTCAATATCTTCAAAATTCTTCACCAACCGATTCATAGTATTCTTTAATTTTTTTCTTTTCATGTTTCTGTTAAATTTATGATATATATAAAGACGTTTGAGAAATATTTAAAAATATTTTTTACACAGAAAACATTTTTTCATGAAAAATATTTTTATATTTAATTTAGCAGTTTCTTAATTTTAACCAGTAAAAATATAACTATCTACACTACCGTCAAAAATTGTCAGTATGAACGACGGGCGAGATAAAAAAAATTGCTGCTGAAATTAAAATAACCTAGTCTATTATTCGAAAATTATAGAAACTTGGTTCTTCAATTGTTTAAAAGCCTATTAAATTCTGCGTCTATTAATATATAAATAAATAAATATTATTTTATATTTTTAAGAGATTTTAACACTTAAGATATTTTGAAAAAATTGATTAATTTTTCTATTTTTGTGGAATATGTTTGTGTGGTTGCACAGTGTGGTAAAATTGAAAGACAAATTTAAAAATTCTGCAGCATAATCATGAAAGTCTTTGAAACTTAAAAACCCTTCAACAGTTTTTGAAATATCAACAAAAATGTGCAAGCATGTTTTTCTAAAATTGAGGTGGTTATACACACTCATTGCACTCTCGCTGCTTACCTGATTCTTTGGGGCAGGGCCGAATAAGCAGCATGTAAACTGGGTTCTTACTTCTCTTTTTAAATTGAATGAAATAGTAAATTAAAAAAAATTAAAGTATGAATATAAAAAATAAATAAAAATTATTTTTCTAAATTGACTATTTCTTAATATTTATATATTATTCAATTTTTCAAAATAAATAGAAATAATGTAATTGTTTCTTTAATTAGCCCTTTAATAAAAACAGTAAACTTTCTGAAAATAGTTGTGCTTTCTGGGATGTGGATTTCTAAATGTAGTTTTTATATGATATATATATATAATAACATTTAAATATTATTTATAATCAGCAAAAAATTTTCCAGGATGATGAATCAACACAAGCAATGGATGTAGAAGACTTGTCAAATGTAAGTATGTTTAAAATTATTATATAAAGACATCAATAAAGCCCTACAAGGGTTCTGCGATTAGAATGGGACATAGTGTTCCCAAACGGATTTTTTATGCTGAACACAAATCAGGGCTTGAAAACTTGCCATCACGTTTCTTTTGAAAGGGCATATTACAGCATGTAATATCTGATATTAGGAAAGTTTAGTTTAGCTATTACTATTATCTAAATTTTTCTTAATTGAATAAAAAACTGTATGGAATCCTAAATGTTAATGTTCAAGAATGAAATTTTTTACTATATAGGTGATTCTCCTGAAAGATACTTTTTTCTTTGAATTACCAAAAAATCAAATTATTTTTTTTTAATTTTCTTTTCATAAATAAATTTTGATGATGTTTAAAGATAAGAATATAATTTACCAAAAATTAATTTTCAGAAATATGACCTCCAGCAACATTTAATTATCATGTATTTTATAGAGGTGAATTATATTAAATTATAACATTAAAATTAATGATTCTGTAAAAAAGCTCGGTAGGAATATTTTGTTTTAAATAATAAATTGTTATGTTTTAAGTTATTACACTTTTTGCTTGTAAATTTTATATTTATTAAATAAATAATTTATAATTTCAAAGTTAGATATTTCAAAACAATAAATAAAAATTTAAAAACAAAACACCTATCAAATATAAAAAATATAATTATGGGTGATTCTCCGCCTAGCGCACAATTCAATATCCCTTATGTTTTTTAAGAAATCAGTTTCATATATTCTAATAAATTCAACGTGGATAACTTATTTCCAGGATAACAAATAAAAGTCTATAGTTGTTGTCATTTAAAAGTTTATAATTTTACTTAAAAATCTGTTTTAAGGTGCCAAAACGTCATGAAGTAATCAGTCCGTAGCGTACTACCATTTCATATATAAAATGTTGTTTTTTTTTAGTAAAATATAATAATAAATATAATGAATATTGATATTTTCTCATTGTCTAAATTAGTAGAATTGAGAAAAACAAAACACTTATGGAAAAAAAATGTATTTTTTAATATTTTTGTATAGATATTTCTTGTCCCCCGTTTTCGCGTCATGGTATCATCACTTTGTAAAATTGCATAATTTACATCAAAAATCAAATCGAAAAATTACTTAACATTAATAAAAAGCATTAATAAACTCTCCTAAGTAAATTACTAAAAAAGAAATTAATAAAAAAATTTATTTTTCTGTTTTATATGTGTTACAAGCATGAAAGTTGCATAGGGAATCACAGAATCGTCGTAGTCGAATCATAATACATTTGCAATAAAATGAATAATTATTTATATTTAACCCCAAAGCAAGTTTAGTAGTATAAAGTAAGTAAAACAAACGACGTGGAAGAAAAGAATTTTTGAAATCGATAATAATTTGCTTAAAAATTAGTTTTTCTTGTGCGTCATGGTCGAATCAGAGCGTCATGGTGTAATCAATTTTACATGGGTGTTTATTGTAAAAAAGAAAATTATAATTATTTTGTCTTGCCCACCACGAATATTTCGTTCTTGAATGTTGAACTTTAAAATTCTATATCAACTTTTACTTAA